TTACCACCTCAATGTGTAGAATGGTTGTAAATAAAAGTTTCCACAGAGGTAATTGTTGCTTGACTAAATGCTTTTTTTTCCAAAGCGTTACCCCTTCAACACGTGTAGAGAGATATCTGTGTCAATATGGGAAAATTATGTTCTGCCTGCGCGAAAGAAAGTTACTGTGATAGAATGAAACTATTTTTAGCTGACGTGCTTTGTTTTTTTATTTGATAAATCTGAGGCATTTATCCTTTTACAGAAGCTTGGTTTGTTTATTATTTTCTTTTTCTCTACATAAAAACTCATTGACGCAGATGGGGCACTGGTGTCCCTTTTATATATATATATATATATATATATAGCACAATAAATAAATACAAAAAGGAGAAGAAGAAAATCATTAAGTTTTATTTGCTGCGCATAAGCTGCAAGTATATAGAACTCATAAAATAAGTTCAAATTATAGAGAAAACATGGAAAAAGTTGCAGAATAATGAAAAAAGAGAAGAAGAAAATTATTTATAAAAAAATTCAATAAAAAACTGGGGGGAAAAAAAGATATAATCTCTTCATCAGCTCACACGCCTATATCCGCAGAAAGGAGTGCTTTCTAATATTGTATCAATATAGCCAAATCAAAATATATCAATGCAATTGTGTTTTAAAAATTATTTTGTTTTAAAATCTATTCTATTCATATATTTTGCTTTGGATATATTGATACAATATTAGAAAGCACTCCTTTCTGCGGATATAATAGTGTAAGCTGATGAAGAGATTATATCTTTTTTTCCGGTTTTTTGTTGATTTTTTTTGTGTGCTTTTCTTTCTTTTTTTCATTATTCTGTAATTTTTTCCATGTCTTCTCTACATTTTCAACATATATATATATGTGTGTGTGTATATATATATATATTGACGGCTCTCAGAGGGATCTCAAATATACTATAATAAGTTAGTACAAGCGGTAATTTTATTTACAAAATCAGACATAGAAACGTACTTTTTATTTTCGACGGATTTGGATTCCTTACTTCAAAATATAGCCACAATTTTGGAAGTATTCTAATATAGTTTGTTCAGGAGGGTGGGCCAAAGTTGCCACCCCCTAAAGACAATTCTACTTTTTGCATATTTCGCCTTATCTTGAGAACTTTTTGTGCGATTCGAACAATATATACGAGCAATTATGAAACTCGTTTAAAAATAAAATTATTCCATTCAAAAAAAAAATTTTTTTCTTTTTACATTTATCTGTCTAACTGTTAGTTAACAGTCTAGAAAAAAATTTGAACGAAATAATTCGAATTGTTCCTGAGAAATCAAATTTTAAAGATCTCACATTTTTTAAATTTGAGTTCTCAGGAACTATTCGACCGATTTCATTCAAATTTTGTGTTTTGCGGTACAAAATTTCATTTTTAAAAATGACGTAAATTTTTTTTAAATATTACAATTAAAAATGTTTTAGCCTATTATTAAATAAAATAATAAGTACTTTTTTAAAAATTGATTTCTCAGAAACTATTCGACCGATTTCGTCAAAATTTTCTGTTTCGCAGTATAAAATTACATTCTTAAAAATGACGTAAAAATTTGTAAATATTACAATTAAAATTGTTTTAACCTATTATTAAATAAAATAATACGTTTTTAAAAAATAGTTTTCCAGTGGAATTATTTTTGAATAAATGAATTGGGTAATTATTTTTAAAAATTGTTCGATTTGATCAAAAATTTCTCAAGATAAAGTGAAATATTCAAAAATTAGAATTGACTTTGAGGACTAACCTTCGACTTCTCCCCTTGCAAACTTATTGCAACAACATTTTCAACACTGGGTTACCCCCCTCTTACTTTGAGGACCTATAATCCGTATCCTTTGAGGGTCTGTAATCCGTATTAAAAAAAGGCATGTTTCTTCCGAGAAAGTAGGATTTTGTGTCTGTTTCAGCATTTTAATTAATAATTAGCGCTAAGTATTTAGCACTTTTTTAGTTCATCACTATTCTCTTTTATATATTTTCGAAACAGAATTTTTTTTTAAAAAAAAAAGGATTGAAAAAGTAGTTTTAACAAAAATTAAAAAATGAGAGCAAAATGTTAATTAGTACTGGAGAATGCAATACTTAGATGGAAAACATAGGAAATAAAATTCGGGTTAAAGGATATGTGATATTGCTATGGAGAGAAACACAGCGGTAATTTACGTCCCACTTAACAAAGGTGATTCTGTCACCTTTACAGAATCATTGGAATTTCCCCACTTATTAAGTACTTCCGCAGTTGCATCCTGCTCGATTAATTTATTTTTGTCATTAATTTATGTATAATCAGTTCCAGAAAAGTGAAAGCGTTATACAGGTCTAAATTTCAAACTCTCACAAAAATTGAGAGAAAATTCAAATTAATTTTTTTAGAGTAAATGTATCGTTCTATTTATTTACAGGAATTGTATAAATTATTGCAAAAGTCGAAAAATACCTTTAAAAATTTTGCTAATTCTGCAAAATTGCCAATTTTGGACATTTATAATGCCAATGTAATCAAAAAACATTTTAAAAAAAACTTTTATTTTATGTAAAATTTCCGAAGTTTAAAAATAAGAGAATAAAGCTTAATTAGAGAAAAAAATTCAATTGGGCGATTACTTAATAATAATACGGGAATAAAGCAAGATAATAAAGCTAATTAAGAGATAAAAAGTTCAGTTGGGTGATTACTTAATAACTTTAACAAGTGACAGAACTAGATAAGTTATATTTTATTATGTGATCGAATAAAAGAAAATCTATGCTTTTTGATGCATGTCCAAACGCAGAGATGCCAACTTGCTCCGGACAGCAAGTTAATATTTTAAAGTGGTAGTTTATCAAATGGTGATTCTAGGTTTGATAAATTCAATTTAGTAGATTTTTATCCACCACTATTTCTAAATAATTCGTAGGCTTATATAATTCACCACTTTATAGTAGTTATGTCATGCTATACCTGTTAAAAAGCAAGCAAAAGTAGTCAAATATTTGAAAAATTTAGTTTGTAGTTATTTACCGTTTTTTTAATAATTTTGGCGTGTCCGGAGCAGTTGGCATCTCTGCAAACGTAGTAACCAAAACACCACTAATTTAAAAAAGAAGATTCAAGTAAGTATACTTAAAACTATTCATTCTTCCTCAAAATTGTACAATATCTATATCTGTCTATATATATTTATATTTCTCTTACACGGCGACAACAAAAGTCCTCATTTCTTTCTGTTGGCAACAAAAAACTGAGAAATTAAGCGTGTCAGCTGTCATAAGGCTTGAAGGCGCAGGCGTAAATATTAGAAATTTTTTTAATAAAAATTCTATTCTCTCGTGGAAAACGAAACTCTACAACAAACTAAGCTAAACGTTGGGAAGAATATAATATTGCATAGCAATCTTTCGGGATTGGAGAGCGAGAAGTGCGCGGAGCCCACTAGTATTTTCTTACATTTTTATGAAATATTTTTCTACAAAGAGCCACTTCCTTACACATGAAATAGAAAATTAGTCAAAATCACGCAACGATAACAATGCCAAAAGTTTTTTTTCCATAAATGATATTTTTTTAAATTAATTTAATGTCCTTAAATTCTAAGAAAATTACTATGCTAATTTTTTTTTTTTAAATAAAAGGGTATTTTGCCAAAGTAGTAAATTTTTAGTGCGTGGCTTAAGTCAGTAAATGTATCTAAAACCAAGTTAAAGAAGAAGAAAAACGAGTACCTAAATATACTTATTCCAAATTTTATAGAGTTATCATTATTTAATTTTTGAAACAATGTAAAACTGTAATTTATCATCTTTTTGAAGAAAACTTATACTTTTAAAAGCTATCCCTAGAAGCAAATCTCTACATCTAAATATTTGAAAATGTAGGCAAAACAAAATCGACAAAAGATAATATTTTTGATTCTTAATTATTAAATGAAAGCGTCATTCAAAATTAACAAAGAGTAGACATGATTTTTTTTTTATTACTTATGCATAATTCAATTGCCAATGAATAATAGATGTTATTTAACTGATCATAAGAACTACAAAATATGGAAATGTTAACATTTTAGAAAAATTAAAATGATTTGTTATAAAATTATAGCTTATTTTCGTTACAGAAACTGCTTGCTAAAATGTGTCAAGCTTGATTTGTATAGTAAAACTACTCAAAACCGGTTAGTCTCTTTCTAATTCAATTTATTATTTAAAATTTTATAAAATTTAGCAGTTTAAATTCTGCAATTAATATTTATCAACAGATGAAGATACTCTTAGATTTTTAATTTACGGAATATCAATCACTTATTCAAAATTTTAAATTAATTACATAAATTTCATTTGTATATCCCTTAAATTACTAATTTTATTTTATTTTCATTACAAATGGTTTGATAAATAAAATGCTAAAATAAACTTATTTAAGATATCCGATTGAAGGTGTTGTTTTTTTCTTAAATTATTATTAAAATACATAAAAAAATAGTTTACATTTTCTATTTATTTAAATTAGTCTTTGATTTTAGAACAACTAACAAATCTTAGGAATCAATTTTGTGATNATATTTAAAATTTCTTCATTTTAACTCAACTTTTTTTGCGATTATGTAACTCAATTACATTTATTATTTACTTAAACATTTATAAAAACATTAATTATATATTATTAACAAATAAATGTATATAAAATTTTAGTTAAGTTATGAGCATGCTTCACAGCTATATAATTTTATCACTTTTCTTTAAAAGGAACTTTTTTTAAAAAAAAAAACATATAATCTAATTGCTACTAAAAGTCAAGATTATATGCTTGTAGTATTTTTTAAAAATAACCGTTAAGTAATAATAGTATTTAAGCCGGGGGTAAGATGCGATAATTATTACCCAAAATGTGGCAAGAAGAAAAAAATTTTCCTTCCTGTAGGTATTCGAGAAAGTGGTCCATTTGCCCTATGGCCACAACAGCTGAGATCATAGTGGTAAAGAACGGGGTCACAGTCAAGATCGTTCGAGTGGGTCAGTGGGCTGACTTCTCTACGAGTGAAATTGCTCACTTGATCACCATCTTCTTCACTGATCACATTTCATCTGCTTTTCCACCCAGTCAGTGAGTGTGGTTGTTATCGTGTGTGGAGAGTTTGCTGGATGTGGTTGAGAAACTTTTAGGATTAAGATAGATGAAAGAAAGCATGGAAGTAAGATTTTTTTTGCTTGTTTGTAAATTACTTGTGGTTTTTTCGAAAAATGGGTACTTTGAAACATCTCTAGAATTATTCAAAACGAAAAAGTTTCAATATAGAGTTCAGTTTTAGATGCAGTGAGCTAAAAAAGAAAAAGCTACCTTCGAATAAACGGATTATCACGTAATAAAAACTATCTTAATGGTTGAAAATATTAGTTTCAAATATGCTATTTAGTTAATTAAGCTATAATTTAGTTATTAAGTTTGCTAAAACAGACTCAAAAACATACTTTTCAGTGGATTTGAATTTCTAAAAGTCAAAATATAGCTGTGTAGTCACATTTTGGAACATGTAGTTATATAAGAAGAACGGTCGAAAGCTTGGGCCTCTTAATGTTAAGTTCACTTTTTTCTCTTTTGGACAAATCTCTAAAACTAATGGTGGCATTCAAAAAGTTTGAAAAAGTGAAACTCATTAACCTTAAGACAAATAAAATAATTTTTAAGTAAAATTAAATTGTAAAAAATAATTTTTAATTATTAGTAATTTTTATGATTTCGTGTAATAGCCGTCGAAAAAATTTTGTATTGTAAGGCCTTCAAATTTTACATCATTTTGTAGTATTATATGCAGTTTTAATTGATAAAATGCAAATTTTAAAGGAAATCTGCAGAATAATTTTTAGAGAAATGAAAGAAAAAATAGACTTGTTAAATTTTCTTAGAAGGAATTTTCGCTATACATAAATATTCGATCATTAAAATAAAAGTTTTATTAAGGACAAAGGAAATGAGTATCTATCCTAAGTGAGTTAACATTGATTTTGCTTTTTCATATTTTTGTTAAACCATATCTTTATGAGTTATTTTTCTAAAGCGCCGACACCACGCCGAAATAATAATCCAAAAAGGAATTAAAGTAGCAGTATTAATCTTTACGATTTGTAATGAGCAGCTAGATCACCAAATTTATTATATTATTATTATGCACATAAAATTTCTTTTATCATTAATTATTTTATTAATAACTTATTAATTAATATTAACGGTGGATAAATAATATACGAATGGGATGCGGGCAAATTTACAGCTATGCAGCCAAATAATATATGAATGAGATACAAATTAATTTGTAACATTGCGGACAATATATGAATGGGGTGCAGACAAAGTTAGAACAATGCGGATAGTTATAGGAAGGAAGTATAAACAGATTTATAACAAAGCGGACAAACTTATAGCAATGCGGACAATTATAACAATATGGAGTCGTGGTGGCTCAGGGGATAGAGCTCTCGCCTCCCAATGAGGTGAACGGGATTCGAATCCCGCCAATGGCTGATTCATTCGAATTCCGCACCCAACTCTCACGGACCGCAGTGCTGCAAGAAATATCCTCAGTGATAGACGGATCATGGGTTAGAATCCTCTCGCCGTCAGGCTAATCGTGGGAGGTTTTCGTGGTTTTCCTCTCCATGTCAAGCAAATGCGGGTTAGTTCCATCAAAAAGTCTTCCACGAAGGCAAGGGGAAGGCACTCCCAATACTTGGTCTGCGAGTTCCTTTGTCTTCTGAATGGGATTCAAAATTACAAGGGTGCAGAGTTGAATATTAGTAGTCGTAAACATATAAATTGGGTCGGCTGTTCAACGACGGTTATAAAATTAAAATAAAATTACAACAATCCGAACAAATATTATATGAATGGGGTTACCTGAGACAGTTCTATAACTGGAAAGGGTGACCTGACTTGGAAAAGTTAGGAGGAAAAACACGTGACAAAATTTACAATTATTTCTAAATATATTAACTATTAAACTGGTTTTAAAAAAAAAAAAAACATCAGCAACCCGTAGAAATTTTGATTGTTGAATGAGCCATTTTTATTTATGAACTTAACCTGAGTTTCCTTCAAAATTCTAAATTGTTTGATAGTTATCGCAAATTTATAAAGTTTCGCGATTTTTTTTTTCTCACTTTCTATTTGTCCACTGCTGTAGGAAAATTAATTAATCTCTTACGAAATCTTGATTTTATAAGCTCGTGCTTAATCTCATGCTAAAATTAACAAAAAAAGTAAGAGAAAAGTACCTGATATAGAGAATACAAGAGAATATTGCCAGATATAAATCTCAACATTTATATTGAAAGCTTAAATAATAATAAGTTTTAAGAATACAAGGGAGCTTGAACATTTATAATAATATGTCACGTTAACGTTTAAAATTACCTTTTCTTAAATTTCTTATTACTATGACAAATAGTCTCTATTGCTTACTTTAATTTTTTCTTCAAGTACAGTTAATTATTTTTCAAATTCGCGTAATTGTTCATTTAGTTATATTTATTAACAAAATGCTGTTATATAAGATTATAATAATTATATGTATTTAACTAAATGTTTTTGTTTTGCGAATCGGAACCTCTTACAGTGTGACAGTGAACAATAATAAAATTATTATTTTTTATATTCGTGACAAATTTCATTAATTAACATTATTGCCAAGGGAAGGGTGCAATTATCAATGTTGATTCGATATAGTTTTAAGGTATTAAGAAACAAAGTTTGGAATGTAAATGACTAAGAAAATTGGAATTAATATATTTTGAAAAGACGAATAATGCTTTCATTATCATAATAAAATTAATGTTAAGTAAATAAAACAAGAATACCTTAAATAAACAAGAAAATGAGTTTCCTACAATAAGGAATCCGGTTGGTTTCAACTATAGTAGAATAATATCGATCACAAAAAATTAATTTTTCCTTAGGAAGAAAAAAAAACTATTTAAACTGAAGAATACGAACTATAATTACTGCAGGTTCTAAGGGCTTGCAAGGGAACTGTTTATTTTAATGATATTAGATGGCATTTTAGTTTATATTTTCCTTATTTCAAAATTATTTTCATACCCCAAATTTTAACAAAAAATACAAAAAGAACCTTAGTAGGTTAAATATTTATTTTGTTATGGTATGTTTTATGTAATTAAAATGTATTAATTCTTTGAATGTTTTGTGTTAAATTCTTATCATTCTCAAAGTTTTTACTTTAAATTTATTTCTTATCACTATAATTTTCTTTCAAATCAATTTAGTCTTTTTCTCAGGCATATTTGAAATTTTCTAAACAGATTTTCTTTAAATAACGCATTTAATTTTCGCACACATATAGATATTTGAAATTTTAATAATTTATCATATTTACTTAAAACAAAATGCTCAGCATTTTTATAAAGTGCTTTAAATGTAAAGTTTTTTTCTCAAGTAAACATTCAACCTGAAGTTATTTAGATACACTATGAAATAATTACTCTAACATTTTCTGAACTGTATGGACATCTTGTCTTCAATCGAAATTTTTTGAAGAAAACCTTACCAGTAAAATTTCTCCGATACTTAATTTAGATTTGTAACGAAATGAACAAAAGTCTCATTTTAACATGAGAAAATACATATGTAAAATTAATCGTGGGAATAATTTTGAAAAGAAAATAGTTTTAATTACATTGCTAACAAATTTATAAAATGAAATTTGATGAATAGTTGTTAAACATATTCAGTAAGTATAAAGAGGGAATAAATGTACAGAAATTGTAGGAAGTAAAGTGTACAGGATTATGTTTGGATTCCATTGTAAAATTTCCTCAGTAAAAATAATAAATATTTTTTTAAAATAATGTCACAATTTATAAATTTCTTAAAACGCCCATAAAAGTGGTCAAAAGTGAAAAATATGCTTTGTATAATTAAGAAATAATGATAATCTGCATTAATTAAAATGAAATGCTATACTTTCTGAATAAAAAATTTCATAGTTTATTTTTTCGGAATTATTTACTCGTTACAAAGTTTGAAATTATAAAATCTTAACTTTTTTAAGTAAATAAATAATGCCTTTACATAAGTAAGAATTCCAAAAACTAATATGCATATAATGCAAACTTTGTCAAAATTTTAGCATTGGAAAATTACAAATATTTACAATTAAGTTATTTTAACCCTTTGCTTAAACCAAGAGCACAGATGTTCCTTATTTAGAGTCAAAAGATACTGGATTAAAGGTAATTTACTAAATGAGAATTATCAGATTTTATCACGACACATTCCTAAATGAAAAATGAGAATTAATTAGGTATAAAGACAATTTCTGTTTTTAAAACAGACTTAATTTCAGAGCAGTGAGGCAACATTTAAAAATAACGTAATGTTAAGCATAACATAAAATACAATTAAGTTAGAAAATTGATTATTAAAATTCAAGATTCAAACTTTGAATTCAATTGCATATTTGCGAGTCCATGTTCCGATTATAACTCTATAAAGAAAATATATTTCACGTATGATCTCTAAGTGTTTACAATGAGTAAATGAGCACATTAAGTGTTTGTATACAAAAAAAAGTAAAGTTACATTTAAGATAAATAATGATACATAAAAGTAAAAATGCGTTCATATAAAAATTATCAAGTAAAAGTAAATCTTTTACCGGTTAAATGATAGACACGTCAGATACTCCAAGTAAATTCACCAAATAAATTTAAATTATAAAAACTTTTGGCATAGGTAGATAGGTACTTTATTTACGTCACATTAGAGCTGAACAATGGGCTATTGGCGACGGTCTGAGAAGCATCCCTGAGGATGATCCGAAGACCTGCCATCGCAATTTTGACCCTTTGCAGAAGGGATTGCTCCTCTGCTTTGGTAACCCGAAGACATGCGCATGAAATCGAGCACTTTTACGTAGAACAGTTTAACAAAGACTGATACCACACACCCTCGGTCCCTACACAGGCTTTTCAAAGTGGTAACCCACATGCTTACTGACCACAGCCAGTGATGCTTGACTTCGATTTTCTACTGGGAACCTTATCTTTACGATCAGTTTACTGCGGGGCTTGGGTATAGGGCTAAGTTTATTTGGACTGAAAAAACCACCCTGGCCCAGCGGTATTGTGGCTTCTCAAAACTCAATGCAGTGTGGAGGAGGCGGGTTCGAGTACGACCACA